CCTTATCTGCCTCTGCACCAGAGGAGCTTACACTCTAATATCCTGCCACAGCCACACACTATTATTATACATTTATATAGCTCCGACATATACCACAGTGCTGTACAGAAAACACTCAGCGTTCCCATCAGTCTCTGCACCAGAAAAGCTTGCACTCTAACTCTCCCCACAGTCATACACATATATTATCATTATTATTATACAGGAATAGCTCTGACATATTATTATTCAACTATATAGCACTGACATTATCCATAGTGCTGTACACAAAACACTGAGCCAGTCACATCATTCCCTGAACCACAGGAGCTTACATTCCCTTCACAGTCACACAACTACCATTATCATACATATTTATAAAGCTCTGATATATACCACAGTGCTGTACAGAGAGCACCAATCCAGTCACATCAGTCTCTGCACCACAGGAGCTTAAACTCTAATATCCCGCCACTTTCACACACTATTATATAGCTCTGACATATACCGCAGTGCTGTACAGAGAACACTGAGCCAGTCACATCAGTCTCTGCACCAGAGGAGCTTACACTCTAATGTCCCCATCACAGTCACACACTATTATTATACATTAATAAACATAGTTACATAGTAGATAAAGTTGGAAAACATGACGCAGGTCCATCCAGTCCAACCTGTGCATGCGTGTTTAGAGCTCTGACATATTCCGTGGCAGCCGCAATTTTGGGAGGATTGACTCTTGGTTACACGGAAGGCACAAAATAGCTCTCAGTGGAAACTTAGTAAAAAAGCTACAAAGACACTTTTAGTTGTTTCCTCTGAAACAAACAACTTTTCCCCTTCACGGGACAGTGCAGTCATGCAGCTACGAATGAAGGGACGCTCGGGGGCAGGACTTTATTCAGAGATCAGCAAGCGATGCAAGCAAAAAAGCGCTGCAATGAAGGACGACCGCCGGCCAAATTGAGAAAATTTCGGGGGGAGATAAAAACACCAGGGCCGCGCGGTCCTCTGTTGTATCCGAGAGGCAGAATCGTCATTTCGTAATCAGGTGATTATCACAATGAGTGCAAGTCACTAAGTCAAGCTGCAAACAACGTGAAAGTTTATTCTGAATATTAACAAAACCTACAACCGGCTTGAGAGCAAACATTGGGCAGTCATGTGCTCACAGATCTGCCATGCTGTACAAGTCAGAAGTACTGCCGCCATCTTCTCTATAGTGCTAAGGAATGATTCATTATTTTACAATGGTGGGGCCCTTAATGACGGCTCCCAAAGGACGGGAAGAGAAATCAAAAAGGAAAAGTTATAGTTGTAAAATTGAACTTGTTTACCTGAATGTATTAAAATAGCTTTAAAAGTGCCCAAATCCTGATGACAAAAGCAATATAATGAATTAAAGTGACACTAAACTCAGGAGTAAAATCTTAAAAATTACATTCAAGTACCTTAACTTTTAACAAAAATGTATCTTATTTGTGTATCACTCGGCTGTAGATCCTCAAATCATCTCTGAATTGGTGCTGACACTGTCCTTCCTTCTGGAGGGGGTCTACTTTTGTTCCCCGTGGTCCCTGTGTGTGTTGTAAAGTAGTCACCGCCCCAAGCTCGCTCCTGTGATGGACTACAATCTCAATACAAATGAGTAAACTAAACATGAGATTGTAGTCCATCACAGGAGTGAGCTTGGAGGGGTGACTACTCTACAACACACACAGGGACCATGGGGAACAAAAGTAGCCACCCTCCAGAAGGAAGGACAGTGTCAGCACCAATTCGAGGCCAGTGTACGGATTGCCGCGCGGTTACAGAGTCTGCCTATCACAGGTTAGCCCGCGCTGAGGGTGCCATTATTTTGTAAGGGCCGCCCAGGCGCGCTGGGCGGATTGTGCGGTTTTCCGCTGCAATTCCGCCCGTGCATCCGAACACACTAAAACAGCCTCGCGTCGTGTATTGCAAAGAAAGGGTACATGTACCTTTTTTCTGCGATTGCGGCGCGGATGTACCCCATTGAAATCAATGGGGCCGCACAGCAATTGCTGTCTGCAATTGTGCACAACTGTGCGATCCCGGGACGTGCGTCCCGGATCGCTCAGGTCTGCACCGGCCCTCAGAGATGATTTGAGGATCTACAGCCGAGTGATACACAAATAAGATACATTTTTATTAATAGTTCAGGTACTTGAATGTATTTTTAAGATTTAACTCCTGAGTTTATGTCACTTTACTGTGGTAATAAAAAAATAAAAGTTGGGGGGGTTGAGAGTTGATATTTGCCCCGAGATGAGTTTTAACATGTCAATGTTAATTCAAAGGTCATTTCCATTTTTTTTTAAATCTGAAGCTTTTCTTTATTTCTGGTGACTCTGCTACAAAAAGATTCTTGCTCAGGCACTTCCTGTTCTAAGGTGACAACTCTCTCCTAATTGTGGTCCTGTGTTGTCACCCTGCCACATGTACCCTTGGAGTAGACTACATGAGGCCATACCGACACGCTTTGCACCTACATGGTCCACTAGAAGCCATTCGAGGGCAATGATGCGCCATTAAAGTTGAAGCGAGAGAATGTAGACAGGAAGTGGCTCAAAAAGGCTGCTGAGTTTAAAAAAGAAAAAAAAAAATAGTTGAATCCAGGATCGCATTACAAAAAAACAAACAAACAAACAAGACAATGGTCTGTAATACACGGTGCACGGATCTAACTAAGTGCCATTCATTCCGGGCTTACATCTACTTCAGCAGGCAGCATTGCAGAGTATTTTACTGCACAGAATAAAAGCTCCTCTGGAAACACAAACCAGCTAAAAAACAAAACTAACAGGATCTGAAGGACGGGAGGAACGGGCCAAATGCCCTAACACACAACAAAGCGACGTCTTTTATTGTTTTATGTGACCGCTGCTTCTGGGTTTGCGCACATTGTCGCTGATCTTTGCCGCTCCTCGCTAAAGAGCCGGAGAAGTGATATAAATCGGCGATGACAGCCCCTAATATTCTGCCACTTGGCTTTGTGATTCGTGGCAGATCAGTAAGTGCGCAGATCATCAGAAAGTCTGCACAAATCCCGGATTATATCCGTACCAGAAGCCTTTCATGTGGATTGAATATCGCTTTTCCCGACACGCTGCAACCAGTCAGCGTACCCAAAAAAAAATCTGATAAGCGCGCACAGAAATCGCCTTCGACTTGTCACAATTGAGCCTGCCTATCTCCGACGGAAACGCGGCGTTACGGGGAACATGTGTGAAATGGCACAGAAGGAATTACCCCGCCGCGCCCCGCACATATGGCCTGTAAACCGGCTTTAGCACAATCCTTGCAAATCTATTCGCCACGCTGCAAAAGAAGGAAAAAAAAAAAACAGCGCCGCGGAGAGTGTCATAATCATATTGCTGTACGGGTAGGACACAGCGCCATTCACACAGCAACAATAGCGTGCTCAAGGAACTCGCCGCTGGATCGCCATCTAATCTGGCGTAATGAGCACGCGTTAAGATCTAATTAAGTTAAAGGGCAATCAGGAATTATTTGCAGTGGATCTAATTAAAAAGCAAAAGGATTGTTTTAGAGGAAAACTCATAACAAAAAAAATACAAAAATCGGTGTAACATATATAACTTTGACGCAATCGGTTCTGTAAATTAATGGCATTTAAATGACCTTTTCATTGTAATCCAAAAGTTGCGCTTTCTTGCAGCCATAACAAAAGATTTTCTGCAATCCTCTTCCCCCTGTTCCCCCTGCTCCTGTACTGGGCTCACTGCCATACCCAATGGCAATGGTTATGCAGACTCTGCACAGAACCTGTGATCAAATTACAGCCATCCCTGATAATGTCCTTTAAATGTTTATTGTAGTTGAAAGACTGCAGGGACGCCACGGGTGAAATGCCTCTCATTACAACACTAGAACAGAACAACATGCACTATGAAATAAGCTTCCAGCTCTCAAGGTTTCTCGATTTAGGAATTTAATTAAAATAATGTACGGAGGCCGGGGAACCTCAACATAATGAAAGTCCTTCACTAGGGAGGGCCTTCACCTGAGGCTGGCAGTGGCTGTTCTACATGAAAATAGTAAAAGTTGACCATCAAGGGCCTTGCTACCCGATCAGCTGGGAGTGATCCACCTGCCCCAATAATGTGGCAAGCCAAGTGAACTGCAAAAGTTTGATTGGCGGAGCTGTAGCACACACCATGCTCCTTCAGACCAGCAAAGGCGGCTCCATTTTATTGTTGTCAATCTGATGAAACAGCAAGCAACCAACTTAGCGGCCAACTAGGTGCAACCTCAGCAAGAGTTCAGGTCAACTGGATTCTTCATGATATGATGATATATGCAATATGGCCAAAGGTTTGTTGACAGTAGACCATTGCATCTTCCTATATGGCCTCCAAATGAGTTTAGGTGTTTCCAATGAAGGGTACCACTGAGGCTACAGCATACAAAGATATTTTAGGCAATTGTGTGCTTCCAGCCTTGAGAAAACAGTTTGGTGTAGGCCCTTTTCTGTTCCAGCATGACTATACCCCTGTGTACAACGCCAGATCCATATAGACAGGGTTTGGGATGGAGAAACTTACGTGTCCTACACGGACCCCTGACCTCAACCCTACTGAATACATTTGAAATTAATTGGTTGGCCCATTGCAAGCCAGGTGTTCTCATCCACCATCAGTAGTTGTCCTCACAAATGGCACCAATTCCCACATACACTCCAAAATCCTGGGGAAAGCCTTCCCAGAAAAGTGGATGATGTTATAGTCACAAAGGGGGACCAACTTCATATTTATGCCTATGGTTTCGGAACGGGACATCCAACAAGCTCATATAGAATTGATGGTCAGGTGCTGTGAACTTTTGGCTATATGGTGTATTAAAGTGAGTGCATTGGAACAAATTAAGTTACTTTCTTATCTGTCAGGAAACACGTCAACACTTTAGTCAATAACGAAACAGTAACATAAAAAAAAATTGCCCGTCTTAGCGAGACTTTGGCCACTAGATGAGCCACCTACCATTGAGCTGTGTTGGTACGTGGGGCTCCTGTGATCGCAGGCATCTTGCGTCAGCAAAGAAACCGCCTGGAACTCTTCAGCGTGAGGCTTGTTGGGGAAACTGGCGTGCAAGGGAAGGTGAAAGGCTGCGAGGGCACCACTCTCGTCGTCTTCCATTTTCTGCCGGCTTGTCACCATGGCTACCTCTCCATCTGCATCCCCATACGGAGAGGCCGGTCTCTTGGAAGACATCCTGGAAGGAACAAAAGCGGAGAAAATAATGAAAAAGCTCCACATAAATCCTTAATGCCGTCATTGTGTTGTTAGAGTCCATTGTAACAGCAATGGCTTTTTGTGCGCGAAACGAGTAGGAATCCATCCAAATACCACCGCGAAGAGTACACAGTGAGGAACAATGACCAGGCAGGTAGCAACAGAACACTGCTTGTTTGTTAGCGGAATAATCAACTAATAGCACATTCTTTTTGGCTCCTGAAATGAGAAATTTCACCTATAAAACATTATCCACCAGGGGCCTAGCCCCGGGGAAGAGCTATTCCCTTACAATACCTCCATATCTGGGTTAGGCTAACCGAGGGACACAAAAAGGGGAAACAATTAAAAATGAAGGAGCAAACCTTGTTTTAGAAATGACATTTAATAAGGAGATAAAAATCCCTCATACAAAGACAATGGCCGAGCTCCTTAGAATTGCAGAAGAAAACAGCTCAGCGAGGCCAAAAGGTTTTCATTAACCGCTGGCAGCGTTTGAGGCTTAAGAGGCCAAGCAACTGCAAATCCCAGCAGGGCATTAGCCCTTTGTGGAACTTGTAGTTCTTCAACAGCTCAAATCCCCCAACTTAAAAATTGGCACTAAACTCAGGAGTTAAATCTTAAAAATACATTCAAGTATCTTCTTAACTATTAAAACGAATGTATCTTATTTGTGTATCACTCGGCTGTAGATCCTCAAATCATCTCTGAATTGGTGCTGACACTGTTCTTCCTTCTGGAGGGGGGCTACTTTTGTTCCCCATGGTCCCTGTGTGTGTGGTAAAGTAATCACCGCTCCAAGATCACTCCCGGGATGGACTACAATCTCAATATAAGTTAGTAAACTAAAGATGAGATTGTAGTATATCACAGGAGAGAGTTTGGAGGGGTGACTACTTTACACACACACACAGGGACCATGGGGAACAAAAGTAGCCACCCTCCAGAAGGAAGGACAGTGTGAGCACCAATTCAGAAGACTGAGGAAATGTTTCCTCATGCAGCTGATTGATGACATCCTCTCTGCTTAGGCCAAGTCAATGACTAGAGCCGAGGGACGGCTTTTTAGTAATAAAAGGATATTGTTGCTGTATATTGTGACATGTCAAGGTTTTCTTCATGCAGGCTTGTAAAGTTATGGAGAGATCCGCTTTAAAATAACATTTATGTACAAATCTACTAGATTATAAAAGGCAGATAAAAGGTCACAAAAGATAATATTGCTGTGTTTAGAAGACGTTTAAAAGTTGAACTACCTTAAAAATGTTTTTATATCTCTGGGATGACAGCTTTGCTCTGACCATTATGAGGGGTCCCATGCTCTCTGCTGGACTTTATCTATTTTGGATCTATTAGGAATTGAGGTAAAGAGATCTCACTGATGGAGACATATAAAGTAGCCAGAGAAGTTTCTGGTGAAATATTAGTCATTTTTGAAGCATTAACTGATGCCTACAGTTATATATCCCTTACATGCTACTTTAATAAAAAATTGTCAATTTTGAAAAAAAAAAAAAAAAGTAGCCACAACACAAGCCTCTTATTCTTTACAGAATGTAATGTGATCTCAAAGTTGGGAAAGGTGGTGGATCCGTTCTGTTTTGACCCTTACGGGCCGCCTAGCAGTCCCCCATCTGTTGATCCCCCTACTGCTATTATAGGGGTCATTTGTAACACATTATGAACGCCGCAGTCTCCATTGTCAAAAGATCATGGGCAGAGACCTCCCAAAATTGCCAAAGGCGTTTTCCTCACCTTGATTGACTAAAGGTGCCCACACACCTTGCGATTATCGTATGATAATCGCGGGAAATCCCGCGATCGTACGATAATCGCAAGGTGTGTGGAAGGCGTGCGACCGTTTCTACTGTACGGTCGCACCACTTTTGTCTTACGAACAGGTTAGAAAACCAGCCGAGAATCGTACGATTTTCGGCTGGTTTGTGGCATGCGCGTAAGATAATTGCCGCACGGGCCGGTGTGCGCAAGCGCACGCTGCCCATTCAGCATTGCGGTCATCAGAAGGGGCGGGCTTGCGATGAGGGGCGGGCTTGCGATGATCGCAAGTACGATCTGCCTGTCCAGATCGGCAGATGGTACCTTTTTTTAATTACCTTACACCCATCGCATGACAAAAGTCTTGCGATGGTTGTAAGGTCTATGGGCACCTTTAGACTAAAGTTTAACCTACAGAGATATTACCATTTAATTCAAGTGCACTACACACAATACTATTTGATCAGATAAAGTGAGTAATTTCCAGTCGGGTAGATCCACCACTCCCGTCGCAACCGTCAAATGATCAGATTAAAGTCAACAACTGAAATAGGAAATCTTGCTATCAGACTGTAAGCTGTGTGGTGGCTTTAATGCCATGTACAGCCGGGCTGGACAAATCCGAGCAGGCAGGTCACCAATGCTTCTTATAGATTACAGCTGGTGCCTAACCTTTGAGGTTTTCTCCAGTTGTTGTCAATGGAGCTGGCTCCTAAAACAGTCTTGTTGGCTCCTGGATTGGACAGACTGGCTCCTGAATTCCATATGGATTGCTCCAGACTAGAAGATGGTGAAGCATTTAGAGAATGTAAAATGTAGCTTGTTGCAGTATCAGGGAATGAGGCCGGATCTGGCGGTCACTTTTGAGGTGGAATCTCCCGATGTAAGAGGATTACAGATTACAGGCACATCTCCTAACGTGACAATGGCAGGGAGCGATCCGGCTGGCCTACGATAAGCAGATTAATAGATCATGGACCAAATAACCTTTTCCGGAGCACAAGAGGTTAAAGTGAAGCAAATGTCATTCTGTCCTGCAAATCCAGACAGACAGACGCGGGTTACAGGGGACAAGATCACATTACAGACTCACACCTATTTCTAGTATGAATCAATCTTCTCTTATTACTATAAATCCTCTTTATTAAGCATTTTAGGTTTTAACTAACTGTACGCACATGTTCATATATTTCCTTTGTAGATTTGTGGGGTGCTCCCTGCTATCTAAAATCAGGCAGTGCAAACAGCATGTGTCCTGAATGACTACCCGGATAAAACATAGTACAAGATGAACCACCTTAAAGGGTATCTATGGTCAAAAACTAAAACTAAAATCTGTATTTCTATTCTAGTTCTATCCCACTCCCAATAACCATATTCTATCCTAATCTACTTATTAAAGAAGCCCATAGGATGAACTTCCTCGACGCACTGCAATGCTGCCGTCTGAACAATGTAACATTATCATTGCTTGCTGTAAGCAATGCATGATGGGATATGTAATCTTGAGAAATCAAGCTTGAATCGCATCAAGCATCAGGGAAAGAGACGCAAAGTACACTGGGAATGCAGGAAGTTGGTGGAAGTGATGAGCAGACGGAAGGCAGCACTCACGACATAAAAAGGGATTTTTCAAGTAAGCTTTGATTGCATTATCAGAAACATCTCCAGTCTGTATTCCTATTACAATGCTGATGTTATAACAGGAGAGGATATGCTGGAACTTTACAACTCCTTTAACACATACTGTTTTTACTGGTTACATCTCAAAGCTTAATTTTGACTGGAGTGTAGATGTACCGCTTTTTGATGCAAACCATATACACAAAATGTCAAAAGTATGCCCCCCTCCCCCCCCCCTTTAATTGATGGAGTTCATGTGTTTCTAGTGAAGGGTTCCTTTAATACTACATGATAAAAAGACATTTTAGACAATTGAACTCTTCCATCCTTGTGGTAACAGTTTGGTGAAGGACCTTTTCTGCTTCAGCATGACTGTACCCCTGTACAAAGCCAGCTCCAAGAAGACAAGGTGTGACTAGTTTGGTGTGGACAAACAGAGAGTCCCACCGCACTCAGGACCGAGGAGCTCCATATATTGTGGGGGGGTGCTGAAGTGGCCGTGGATGGCGCCGCCAAATATTTGCAAAACAGAACAAATGGTCACCAGCACTCCAAGTTTTCCTCAATTTTGGTGTGGAGGAACTCAAGTGGCCTCAACCCTACTAAAATCATTGGGATGAACTAGAACTTCAATTGTAAGCCCGGTCTTCTTATCCAAGTCAGTATCCGACCTCACATAGGGCACAAATTCCCACAGACACCTCAGAATCTTGTGGAAAGACTTCCCACAAGAGTGGAGGATGTTATAGCCGTAAGGGTTGGTCTATATTAATGAACACGGTTCAGGAATGGGATGTCCAACAAGCTCATATAGGTGTGTGATGATCTGGGGTACATAGACTTTTGGCCATATAGTGTACATCACATAGTGCACAAACGCAGTCCAACCTCCCCACCGGCAGCACGCAGCTCGTCGTGTTTGAGTTTTCACGCTGAATCATGTTGAATCTTTTAGATAAACAGCAGCACTACATGATCACAAACAAACCAATAAATCAACAATATCAGCAACCGCAATAATAATAATAAAACAGCTATCTGGATCCGTTTATCAAAGAAGGTCTCCAGTAATATTTAACAAACTTTGTCTTATGGAATTACACAAACAGCTTCAGACAGTAAATAAAACAACTGTGCCGATATTTCTCAGGTTTTTTTGTCCCAGGAAATCATTTCCAACAATTCCACCCACAAATAAAGCTTTTGTAGATACATTTTACTTTTCAGACTTCCTCCATTGTATTTTTTCCATGCATTTTGCATATAACCTCTGCCACCCTAAAGGTCTCATTCACACGAGAAAAAGCCGGCACGTACAGCTCCGTGCTGCGTGCACGGCTGTATCGGGCAGCTCCCGGGAAGGACAGGTGCTGCGTGTGATTAGTACGCAGTCCCTGACCTTCTCTATGGTAGTGTGTGGCCGTACGCCGCCCTACACTCACCCGCCCTGCACTTCCGTGCGGGTGTCCCGGCTCGGACGCCGACAGGATGGATCCTCTCTGCGTCCGAGCCGGGGCACCTGCACCCGTATCAGGATCAGAAATGGAGCTATTAAAGTCGTTCTGTGTTTTCACAGCATTT